CCACCAGCCACTCCTCGGAAGGAAGGTTGGGCAATCCTACTTCCGTAGTGATACTGCCTCGGAAACCCAAGGAGGGGTTGCTATGAGTCGGGGCCGACTCGACGGCACACAACAACAACAACAACATAGTATTCAAGACTTTCATATTTTTAAGACTATATGAAAAATACAAAGGGTTTCTTAAAAATGTTCTATAATTAAGGTAATAGGTCCACAGGAAACAAAATGTACATTATATATATATATATATATATAAAGAGTTGCATATGCAACTCTTCATGTATCTATGTAGAATATTTAATATCTTACACTATAAAGTTCCCTTCCTTCTTTTGTCCGTCATAATTATAATCTTTAACAGTCTTCCTTTATTCAGATGGCTTTTGCTATTATCCTGAAATAGAATCACTACTGAAAAGAGTAATAACATGACACAGTAGTAAAGCAGAGAACTAAGTAGATCTAAACTTGAATCCTGGCTCTAGTACTAATTAGCAGGGTGACTAAGACCAAGTTACTTCAACTCTTTAAGTCCCAGTTTCCTCATCAATACAATGGGAATAATAATGCCTATAACACAAAGCTACAGTAGAGAGTAAATATGATAATATTAAAGCTTTTAGCACAGTGTTTAACACAGAAAGTAAAAGAATTCAATAAATGATTCTAAAAAAGGAAGAAAACCTGAAAACTCATTTGCCTTCTGACTATGATTTCACTTATGTATCAAATCTAATGGAGGGAAAATAAAATGTTCATCTATAAAATATGTAAAACAAACTTGGTTTTTCAGTGATCTAATATTTCTTATTTATTACTTAGAATCATTAGTTATGTTTTCATGTAAAATATGTCTTACCTCTCTAAGTAGGTAGGGTAGAAACCTCATCTTAAAATACTTAGGGAAACTCACAACAGCTTGCTCAGTGCCTCCATATAAAATACTTCCAATAAATAAATACTTGTTGACTGATTAAACCTCCAAAAGAACATTTATGCTTAGGAAAGGAACAAACAGAAATATAAAGATAGAAAAATAAAAATTAAAGGTAGAAAAATAATACCTATAAACTATTCTACTGAAATTATCTTTCATTAGTGTGATTTAGGTGAGCATATATGTTATCAAATAAAAATTATCCTTGACTGTTTTTGCTTGAATGTTAATGGAAGATGTTTTTTTTTGTTTTAGGATAATGGTTATTTAAAAACAACAAAAAAGCAGATATACCCGGAGCTGACATGAAGACCTTAACTTATCTGATTTCCAAGACATTCAAAAGCCTAACAAGGTAAACCACAAATAAGAGAGATTCTTGATTTAATCTTTAAACCTTGACTAAATCTCTAAAAAATTTAGAAGATATCCAAAACTATAAGATAGACTTATTTAGTTAAAACGAAGCTAAGAGAACTATAGAGTAGCATTATATGAACATTTAAAACACAAAGAAAAAAAAATTCACAATAATCTCTTAATGCTTATGAAACATAGGCAAGGAATGCTGATGAAATTTAAAGCTGAATAGCAATTTAATTATCTTGAAATAGTAAGTTCAAAGAAGTCCCAAGATTTAAGCAGATGAAAGTCCTCACAGAAAAACTAAAGACATCAAATAAACACCATAAAAGATTCTATTTTTGAGTTCTTTTGAAATGATAAATTCAAGAATACCCAGAACATAACATTAACATAAACATTATTATTATACTTAACACATGAGTACATGAGCACATTTACAGATGCTAAAGGAATCCATTGGGGAGCTCTGGTAGCTTAGTGCCTAAGGCACTTGACAGCTAACCAGAAGGCTGGCAGTTCAAACCCACCAGCCACTCTTCGGAAGGAAGGTTGGGCAATCTACTTCCATAGTGATACCACCTCAGAAACCCAAGGAG